TAAGATTAGAACTACCAGACGTTTCAGATTTATTAAAATGTCCGACAGGGATGATTTCTCCTTCTAACAATACAAACGTTTTTTGTAAAAATTATACTCTATAAGAGTTTCAGAAAAATTAATGATGTACATTTTAGAAAAGGTTCCCTTGTTAGTTAGATGCTAAGTGAAAGACGATTAAAGCGTCGGATCCAATGTGAGTCGAGTTTTCTTCCAATTTCCAGTAGAATGCTAGCATATTAGGTCAGACATTCTAGGTAATCTCCGTGAGGTGAATAAACATGTAAAATATATTTGAAATTATGCTTATTTATGCTGTTACAGTTTCCTCTTAGTGTCTACTTTGGTCAAACTGTGATCTATTGACTCCCGTCTGACCAGTCGTAGGGTTATTCTACTTGAATTTTCATAATAGAAAGTTTTAAGTGAAACGAGGATAATTTCCCTTTCTCCTGATGATAGAAACGTCACGAGGGGCGTTTTTTTAACCATCAAGTGTGCCATTGCAAACCCTCGTGTATTGCCCGCGCGAACTATGTCCCTCGCGAGAGGACAGCACTCGTCGAACGTCACGCTCTTCCGAATAGCTGCATGGGAACGCGTTTTCCGTTCGACTTGTTGTTCGAGCGCTCTTTAAACTCGAACTCGATCGCGTTTCGGGCCAACCTTTCGACGATACTGGATTTCACGACGATCACCACGTGCTCCAACAAAACTTTCAAACCCCTTTTCTATTATACACTACTTCAACAATGAGAAAAGGATTGATCTTCGAAAGAAAAGAATCTTTAATCGTGTACATTATAAAATAAATGAAATAACAAATTTCAAGTTACCCCAGTTTCTCACAACATTCTGATCAAATACAAAACGAACACTATGTTCCAACATACACCTAAAATAATTCTGAATCAAAACCGTAACAAATCACGAATTTTATATCGCCGTAGTATCGATCACGGCCCGTGAAAGGGTTCCTTATTAACCTCTCTGAAGACGGTTCGAGTGGCCTAGTCGACGTGCTTTTGGTTCTCCGGGGTGTCGCTCGAGCCGATATTTTATCGCGAGGTCTTAAACGATCGGAGCCCTCGATAATCCCTCTTCGCAAATTACGACACTTAGGGGCAGCTTAGTCCAGAAAATTTCGCCCCCGTGAAACGGTGTCAGTGCGTCCAAACCCAAGGAGCACCGCAACCGTCCATCGAACCGTAACCACGACCACCTAAAGCATTTCCAGCGATTCATCCTGGCGCATCAGGATCGTCCGACTCGGTTACCAGACTGTTTAAAACGATACAGGAACGAGGCAGACGGCGATAAATTGGCACCCGTCATTCCCCGGCTACTTTGCGAAACCATGAATCCCGGGATGGTACTCTCGACGAATTGATTCCGTTCGCCTCGTGGAAGCATAAAAGGTAACGAAAAGTTCAAGCTCTTTTGGCTGTCCGACGGATACTGCAATTAACGCGGTTCCTCGTTGCCCGGCATCTTTTCTTCGATCGGACTAACTGAATGCAGAGATGATTTTCTAGAACTGAAAGGGCGATAGAAGAATCCCGACTCCGGGATCTTTTGTCGACGGTGCCGTAAAGAAATCTGTTAACGAGACGCGGACGAATACGCGATCATTGGATCTGTTTGTTCGCCGTAAATAAAAAGAAAGCGACCAACTCGAATATTTCTCCATAATAATACCGTTTAAAAAAGGAAAGGGCTGTTCATTGTCAATTAGCTTAATGCCCCTAATTTTAGATTCGCTTCATTCTTTTTCGCGGTGTCTGTCGCTCGGCGAACAGTTGAAAATTCAGTTGGAACTGTCCCTCCCCCACCCCCACCACCCTGTGCTGCGCGACTAATTCGATTAGATCGTAAACTTCGGGTTGGAGGTAATGCTATTCATTATGTGGGTGGGTGGGATGGGACGAGAGAGTCCTCGACGAGTTTCGCGGATCGTCGCGAGGACGTTCCGAGCCTATTTTCGCGAGGATTGTTCGGCTCGTCGACGATAAACGCGAAGACGTCTGAACTGATTTCCATGTCGAGTTCCCCGTTTCGAGCCAGGGGGGTTTCCAAACACTTTCAACCGCCATTATCTGATCAGGATGACGTACCATCGGTTTCAATCTCTAAAATACTAAAAGATACATTACGTATTATATACAGTTTAGATTTTTTTAATGGAACGTCTTTAAAACTCCAACGAAGACGTAGTAGAAGACGTAGCATACGATGATGAACCATGTCACCGGGGCAAGAATTCGGTCATTAAACGAAGGACTACTGTATCCGAATGAGAAATAAACTGGACAGTTTAATAATGTGATAGAATCCTTAATAAAGACTGTTTAACGCGAGAATAGTGGAATGGTAAATTTAAGTTGTTTTAATAGGGGCACTCTGCTTTTACGACTGTTGTGACTCGTTTTGCATTAAGAGAACGTTCGATTAAACTGCAAAGGGATTTAACGGTTTTAGCTGGATTAAAAAATGCGAAGGAAAGTTTCTGGATCAGCGGTCAGAAAACTCTTCGTAACTCTGGGGGGTAAAAGCAAAATTGTTTTCCATCGGATTTACCGTTTCCTACTTGCTCGAGTTTGGCTTTATCAAGCTCTCCGGCCGCTATCAAAAACTCATAAACGTCTCGATATTATGAAGGGAGGCGAATTTCGCTTACTCCTAACAACACTACAGATTCTCGAAGGTTCGTGCTTTACATTCACCTTATCGATTCTAATAACCATTACCAACATTACAGCAATATATTTTTGCTTTTAATTTTATGTGTTCTAGTACTGTATTTTATTATACAATAGCCTACATAAACGAACTATCAGCATACTGTTATTTTTATCAATTAACAGCAAGTATGCTTTGATCAATAACAGCAATTACAGATTTCTAAAAATGTATTTTTCCCCAAAAGCAAGTATTTCTCTGTGAGTCTGTAGTCGCTGTTACGAATCAGAAATGAAAACAGATAATTTAAATATATTGCCAGTTTAAAAACAGTCTCCAATTCACCACACTGACACCGTCGAGGAACGATCGATAAAAAGAGAGTAACCTAATAATCCACTCCCGAATGTTGTCACCCTGACCCTCGATAAATGCAAAACATTGGTCCTCCTCTAGACTTCTTTGTCACACTTTTTCGGAAGGCACAATATCGTTTCTCGTAACCAATGAATTTACACTTTCGATGCTGTTCACACGCACTAGGGGCGAAATAATTTCTGAAACTACCATTTTATCACTGACATTTTGTGTTCACCTTACAAACATTCGATTTGCCATCGATATTTCCAATGACTTCGTAAGCGGATTTCCCGGAGACCCGTCGACAGTTTTCGCGAAAATCTTCGTCGCGGGAGCTTTCGACGCCCAACAAAACAGCTTCTCGCGAACGCGGGGAACGGACACGAATAACGAATCGCGCTAATTGGACGCTCGACGATACTCGGCTGAGAGCTGTTCGAACGTCGAATCTCTTGAAACTCCTCTTCTGGAAGTTCTGGAGAAGTTGGAAAGATCGCCAGATATCGTACGGAGAAAAAAGAAAGATCAGTCCCTTGTTCAGACGAATCTGGTGCCATAAATAAAAACAGCACGAACGGCCCAAGTTTTGCTTACGGGGGTACGTCCCCGAATGTGAATCGCCATTGTCGACGAAACTTTCGCAGGAAACAGTTTTCACGGAAACATTCGACGCGTATATATTTTTGCAAAACTTGTACTCGGTAAGAGTTTCAAAAACATTGATGATTTACATTTTGGGGAAAGGTTCGCTGTTAGAAAGGCGATTAAAGCGTCGGATCCAATGTGAGTCTAGTTTCCTTCCAATATCAAGTAGAATGTTAGCATATTGGGTCAGACGTTCTAGGTAATATTCGTGAGATGAATGAGTATGTAAAAAATATTTGAAATTATGCTTATTTATGCTATTACAGTTTTCTTTTTCCGCCTATCTTGGTAAAACTGTGATCTATTGACTCCCGTCTGACTAGTCGTACGGTTATTCTACTTGAATTTTAATAGAAGAAAGTTTTAAGTGGAATGTGATAATCAAACTGACAATTTTGTTTATGTTGCGTGTGGTAACATCGAAAACACATGTAAAATGTATATATTTTTCAAAAATTAATGTAATATTAATATTTGTCACGCGATAATAGGAATAAGAAGACTTCTAATAGTGCTGGATACAAGAATTTTCAAGCGACAATTTTTACAGAATCATCCTCCAGTTCCAATTTCTTTCTCAAACAAGTTGAGAATTGAATTTACAGTAATTGTTAGTCAGTCATGTGCTTTGTGAATTTTTTTCTACATTGTATTGTATCTGCATTGGCCTGGGCCACACACGGGTACGTTCTACTTGTTCCCGTCCGACCGCCCGTAGGGATATTCCACTTGCTCCCGGTACAATAGCAGAAAGTTCACCAGAATGCTCGACTCAAACACGATTCAACCGATCTTCGCTTTCCCTTACAATACATCGAGTCCTCTCAAACCTGAGCGGTTTCCACGAAGAAGGAGGCGAAAAATGTGATACAAAATGGACACTAGATCGTGGGACACCCTCGCCGGACACACTCGCGGTCGTTCCCCGCGGCTACGGTTTCCCCTGCGACAGGAGCCACGGACGTAACGATTTTATCGTACGACAAGTCGATCGTACAAAGTGCAACCATACCTGTGCTCAGATAGAACGAAACCTTCGATCTCCTTCGTTCAAATTTTAGCAATTTTTTACGAGGTTATACCGCAGGAAAGACGTAAAAAAATTAGATACGTCTCCTCGTGGTCTTCATTTGACATAAAACTACACTCGACCGTAAGAGGGAACGCGACACTTCCGGATCGGATTCCAACCGCTGAACACTCGTTTCCTCCGCGGAAGCTTCGAGAGATAATGCGTGCCTCCCCCCGGGCACTCGGGAAATATTTTCGTTCATTTTTTAAATCGTTAATCCCGCGGTAGCGGCTGGAACACTCACCGATGCAGACGAAGAGCGCCGCGAAGAAAATCGGCGGGAAAGCCCTCGAGGACGAAAACATCCTGACGCCGGTAGCGAGCTCGTACTGCGAGGAGGACTCCGTCAGCGCGGACCGAGGATCCTTCCGGGCAGGAGCCGCCCAGAGGGGTGGGACCAACGGTGCCCCGCGAAACGAAAACAGAAAGGAAAAGGCACTTGCGACCGACCCGGTCGGTTCACGGCGCGTCCCCTCGATCCTCGATCACCTGGATCCTGTTCCCTCTGCGCGTAGCTTGTGCACGAACGATCGCGTGGATCCGTGATCCCCGTCGACGATCCGTCGAAAACCAACTCTTTTCCTCGCCCCCTCGGGTCGAACGATCGAAACGAAACTATCCCCGTGGAATTTTCCAAATTTCCTCTCCGTTACTCCGGTTTTCCAATCGTGCGTACGGGCCTCGATTCCTTATTTCTCGACAAATTTCGTTCGTCTTTTCTCTTTCCTCCCCCCGAGAGAGGCTCCTCGACGACACTGGAGGATCGAACGCGAATCGGTCGGCGGTGTTCGATCGCGGGGCTACGTAAAGGCGCGTCCTGACACGTACGTCTGTTGCGGCGCCGCCGTCGGACTGAGTTTCTACGTTACGCTGCAGCAGTGGCGACGCGACGCGCCTAGCCTGGCCTAGCCGCGCCGCGCCATCCGCGTCGTCGCGCGCGCTTATCTTCCGCACCTGTGTCGGCCCCCCCGATTTTACGGCCGTGTGTGCGTGCATGCGCCCGCGCCACGACGCCCGAAATTCGGCGCGCTCCCTTTCATGGCCTCCTTCGACGTGCCGCAGCTGCGATTTTCTGCGCTCGAAGCCTTCTCGAAATAACTGTTTCGAACTATCCCGGGCCCCCCACCAATCCTAGCTAGACCGAGGCTGATTTTTCAGGCAGAAATTAGTTCGAAAAATGTGCAATAACATTTTCGTAGACGACAGTCCATTATAGAGACAAATTTTCTACTGATTTGATGAAGATACGAGGGTCGTTCAATGAGTCCTTAGAAGAAGATAGAAAAACAAACTATTTTAGATAGATTTTTTTTTTATTTTTCAACATAATCTCTTTTTAGCTTTACACACTTTTCCAAGCGTTTCTCCAACTGTTTTAAGCCATCTAAAAAGTAAGATTTCGGAAGATCCTCGAAATAGGCATCTGTTTGAACCGTTGTCCGCCGAGTCATTCTTTTAAAGTTTGGAAATAAAAAAAAGTCACTCCTTGGTCGATAATTTATTTATCTACTTTCATATCTTCTTGCTCTTGTTTCAGTTCTCTTTTTCTTGGCATTAGGTAAGGGAGATGCTTTCAGAATCATTTTGTAAATATTATCATCAAAATTAGTAAATGCACGTCCGTTTCACAGCCTGCATAATCAATGTCTGATATATTCCAATCCAACAAAAAATCTACACAACTTACGGAGGCCTTCGCCGATATATCGTGCATAGGCGTTTTCAGCGACTTTCGAATGATTTTATATAAATCGTTGACATTTCGATACCAGGTACAGTCAGTTACGTAATTTGACCTGGGTTTTGTAACATTTCATCCGGGAAAGTTATTTAATTATTATTTTATCGGTTCCCGTCAGAGTTTCCCGCTTATCACATTATTCAATGGGACGCAAAAGCGCGACGCTGCACGCGCGTCGATGCTCAAAGTTTAATTAAACAACCATGATTGCAGAACCATCGGAACAAAGAATTTCTAAATAGCATCGAAGCGATGCAGAAAGGATCCCTTTTGTTATAAATTGCCGACTCGGAGGCTATTTCCTGCAATTTCGATCCATGACCTTTGACTTCATACAGCAAAACTCGTATCGATGTTTCCTTGAAGCGTGTTTAACGATCATATCTTGTGAGTTGACCAAGAATGATCAGTTTTCTTCATTGGACTTGCTTCTAAGCTATATAAAAATGTGATTTTCCCCTTAAATCGTTAGATTAAACAAATATCATTTTCATGAAAGATTAATATCTTTTTTTTGTCATCCATAAGATTTCTCCGATGGAAATCTGTTTTACGTCCAGTGGATTTTAATTTCAATCTTACCTTTAAATATGTATCAAAATATTCCGCCATCGTTCACCCAAAATTAAATGAATTGAATGAACGCAATCGCGTCAAGATATTTTTAAAAATGAAAATCGACACGAAACGTGATATTTCGTGAATAAACTCGACGGGTACGTGAAAAGTAAGATAGGTATTTAAAAAAAGAAAAAGAAAAAACTGAAAATCGTCAGGAAACGTGACGTTTGGCGAATAAATTCGACAAGGGCGCGTGAACCGGAGAACGGACGAACGGTATCGATCCCCGATCGGAAGGGTAAATCATTCTCGACGGTCCATGTTTCTTCGACGAAGCCAGGAACGCGTTTAATTTCCCTGCAGCGCGTTCCCGTAGATATCCACCGTTTACATATCGAGTCGCATCAACGTTATTGCAGTATGCATTCACGCGGCAGTTATCGGCCCCGTATACACTGTGCCCGCCCTATGTGCATTATACACAGGCAACATTGTGCCGTCCGGCATCAATCATGAGATTTCCTGCAGGTGAACGCAGCCAAAGGTTTCCACGTTTCCCGCGTTCCCGTCGATCGATCCACGTGCCGTTCGATTCATGAAAAAAGGCTCCACGTCCCCACGGGACCACCATAACGATCTTCCTTTACGCGTGGACAAAATTCTTAAGAACAATCAGATCCACGGTACGAAGGTTCTCATCGATATGGAGTAATTTTTAATAAAACGATAAAATATCCTCCGCCAGAGAAATCAATTTTGGAACACGAAGGACACTTATTGTTTGGGCTTTGGTGAGTAGATTAGGCTTATGACAAAGTTAGAGTTTCGTTAAAGGAACAGAGTGTCATAAACTTGGTTGGTGGAGGCAGTCTCGAGTGGTTGCAACCCCAGCGTGGATTCGTATACCTGGGCCTTCCTTCTTCGTAGTTTTGCACACGGGCCCAGGGACCAACGCACGTGGTGGAATAATCCCCAGAGTTGCCACACGTAGCACCCTCCACCTTGGACGCTAAGCTACATTAGTATTGTTGCACCCCCGCCATAGAAACTCTTGATAGAAGGGGGTGCAAAAGGCCAACGCCTTGGAAAAACGGTGGAACCCCGTCACTTCGTTGTTGACATCCAAACACTTGGGTTTTAGCATAGAACCAAACCACCAAGCATCTTCAAACACCAGACAGTGCGCTAGCCTTCCATAGTCTGTGTATATTCTTGTTGAGTTTTAATAAACATAGAAACCAATTCGTCTAGTTAGTCCCCTGAAAAGGGGTGGTCCTTCGAGCTTAGTTTTAGTCGGTACACCACGTGCAATTTACACTTCGAGTTCGGATTAAACACTTATAATAAGGCACGTCCGTTCGAAGATCTGCAAATCGCAGTTATACGGGAACAATGGATCCGCGTCTTGGTACTTAGAAAATTACTGCAGTGTGCCAGGATCCAGGATCTAAGATTCCGGGAATATCGAGGCTCAATGTGGACCGCGTCAAATTGCATTGCAAGTTAAATCATGTGGATCACAATGGCAGATTATGGTAATCGTTTACAGTAGGGACTCCCTCGTGTATTGCAATTATTTTAATATACAGGATGTTCGGTCACCCTTGGGAGAAATTTTAAAGGGAGATTCTAGAGGCTAAAATAAAACGAAAGTCAAAAATATCAATTTCTTGACTGAGGCTTCGTTAAAAAGTTATTAAAAAATTTCAAATCATTCTGAAAAAATTATTATTGGTTCCGGGGGTCAATTACAACCATTTCTTGTGAATAGACATACCTTCGAAATTCTACCCACTTTCGAGAAAAAAATTCGAGTAGGTGTTGAAATTTTTCAGCGAAAAAAATTTTCAAATCGTTCTAAAAAAATTATTTTCGTTTGCGGGGGTCAATTACAATCATTTTTGGTGAATAGACATATCCTCGAAATTCTACCCACTTTCGAGAAAAAAATTCGGGTAGGTGTTGAAATTTTTGGGCGAAAAACAAATTTTCAAATCGTTCTAAAAAAATTATTTTTGGTTCCGGGGGTCAATTGCAATCATTTTTGGTGAATACACATACCCTCGAAATTCTACCCACTTTCGAGAAAAAAATTCAAATTGGAAAACAAATTGGTATTCTTGGTTTTCGTCCTATTTTGGCATCTAGAATCTCCCATTGCAATTTTTCCCAGAGGTGGACGAACACCGTGAATATTGTAGGGATTCCTGAGTGTTCTGAGCATAAAAAATAAATGTCACGAGGTGTATTCTCGAATTGTAGCGAATGGTAAAAACGAGTGTTCCGTTTGACACGCGTTAATAGAACAAACGTTCCACACAGAGACTGGTATTTGCCATTTTCTGATTAGAATGACTCGTTATTATCGTTTCAAACGCCACTGCGAGTTCCCAGCGCGGATTACTCTTATCAAGGAAACGAACCGAAACGATTCACGGATTGCTGCGAGGCAGTATACAGAGAATAGTCAACAGAGTCGTAGATGAGATGTCGTGCACTGTTTAGAAACAGTCGAATGGAATTAGTCAAAATTCCTGCAAGTATTACGGGAATGCAGTTTGCTCTCCTCCCGTGACCCCATATTCAAATCTGATCCGATAAAGCAACGATTCTCAAACTTTTCTGTCCACTTATATAACTCACGCGACTCCCTAGAACCACGTTTGTCAATTTTGGGCAATCTTGAACTAATTTCGCTAGAAAATTTCACTCACTGCGCACTTCCAGTCAGGTCCGTCCATAGTCAAAATTCGATCCAATCATGAATCCACAATTATAGTTACCCCAGTCAAAGTTTCGTGGGCCACGTGTGCGCTGAAACAAAAGGAGACGAAATAGGAGACTGCAGATTGGAAATTTTGACAAAATTAGCTCTAAGAAACATTTGCAAGAATAATATAAGAACAATGGAATAGGCTTCTGTTAGCAATTATTGGATATTACTATATATTATTATGTGAAATAAGGAAAGGAACAAACTTAGTAGCTTATTTACAGCAACGGAGTTCACGCTGGAACGAAATACAGAATGTTTAACAGTGGACAAAGAAAAATCTGGGATAGTCCCCGCGCGAATTGGTTCGAACTGCATTTTCGCGCGAATAAAAACTTGGTTCTTGAATAATACACGCTCGAAAGTATTCCCCTCGACTTTATTCCTGTACTTTGAGGGGTAAGCTTGAAATTTAAATTACTTCTGCGTGATATTTTTGGCGTGGTCCTTCAAAGAAATGCTTTGATGATTTCTCTTTTCACCGTGACTGGCAGAAACTTGTTTCAGTTTATTTCCGACATACTTTTGCCACGGATGAATAAAGTATCTAGACGAATAAAATTCTTTGATGACTTCTGCCTAGACTATGGTTCACAGTAGACAAAATGAATGTGACATTAAAAGTCAGAAAGTTACTCTTAAATAAATCAATATCATACGTACTCATTTTCTGATATTTCTAACATCGAAGATCATTGCTCGTCTACAGAATAAATGAAACTATTGTGTAATCGAATAATGTATAAACAAAAATTAGATTAGA